AACATGCAATTAGACGGCTGGTGAATTTATTTGGACATATATATATATATAGTGCATGGAACCACACAGAACGAGACTGATAACACGTCTCTACACTACATTAGTGCCCTAACTCTGAAGCAAAGTTTACATTAGACGATGACAATACAAAGCGTCAGCTAGCCTACCTGTCCAGTAAATAAAAACGCCAAGAGGAAGCTCGATTTGTAGGCAACCGAAGACATCCCACCCTTTCTCCCCAAAGCCGCCACTCCAAAACAAAACGCGTACTGTCTGGCTTGCTAACCCCTTAAAAACACAATTAAAAACAAAACCAAACCGGTAAATTACCTGTCCAGCAGAAATACGGCCAGCATGGCGTCGCTTTGCAGCCCCTTTTGTTCTCGCAACTGTCGCCATCGTTCAAAAGCCACACCAATGTTAATTCTGGTTTTATTTCTTGCAGCATCCAATTTCCTTTTAGTTGTAGCTTTCTCGAATACAGTCTTCCGTTTGCGACCGAAAGCTGCCGTGGAGACCGTCTCTGCCATAGCTCGCTAGCTTTAGGTATAGAACTAGAGCGGTACCACGTCTGTGTGCCGGGCCTGGTGGGACGCTGTCGGCTCGCGCACGGAGTGCAAGAGGAGAGCGCGTGCAAGTCGGAAGTTACGTTGACAGGCAGGTTGGTCGTCCAATGGTTTTGCTAGGATCGAGTAAAATGACTGGCCAAGCTTTTTCAGATCTGCAAACCAACACAGATGAACAGTAAATACTAATTATCTGCATTAAAAAAAGCAGCTCAACATCTTGTTTCCACTCATTTTAATCAAAATACTGAACATGTGTCAGCTTCTCACAAAGCCACAACACGAATACTACATTTACCAACAAGGTAAATGGGCCCCATTGCCCCCTTTGTCTTTTTCAGTGGAGAATGAAGGTTTTGTGCTATGTTCTGTAGGATGCAGGTTGGTAGTATGAGTGCAGATTGTGGTGGGGATAAAGAGAGGCCAAGATGCCGTGCTCTTGCAGCAGCTGAAAGAGTCCCAGTGATGAACTGGTTATGTTTGTGGTCATGGTGGAGGTGGTCTGGTCTCCCAGGCCAAGGTGCTGCTGGTGGGATGGAGATGAAGTGCTTATGTGCTCACAGTTCTGACAAGATGGCAGGCCAAAAGAGTGAAGGCTGTCGAGAGGGGAAAAAAGAATGGAAATAAAGAAATATGTTGCAAAAGATTTTAAAAAGCTTTATTTTGCACAAACATGCCAGTTCATACACAAATAATTTAAAAACAGCACAATGTAAATGTTTAGTTAGTTAATTTGTTATGTCTATCATCCTGATGTTCATATGGCTGATGAAACAGGATCTGGTGATCTGCTAAAATGAAAACCTAAAAAGGGAAA